CCCATAAGCAAAAGTGTGAAAGGTTGTTCGATGATCAAATAATATTTTTTAAAGTGAAATTTAAATTATTTATACAGCTATTTCATCTCTAGAAGTTGTATGTTATCAACGGATTTTTGGTTTGATATCAATAATTTTTTATTTTTTTTATATTAGACCCTTCAATATTTCAAAGCAATCATTCAATTTATTTTTTCTTTTGGGGTTTATTCATATTTTTTTATTATTATTTATTTTATTTAAAATAATTTATAAAATTAAAATTTTTTCCTCAATTTCATTATCTTTTAATTTTTTATTTGTCAAATTTGATTATTATTCTTTTAATTACTATTTATTTTTTAAAAAATAATTTTTAAAATTAAATTATTTTATAATTTTATCATCTTTCAGTTATTTTTTCTATTATATTTGATATCCATTATTCTAATTATTATTTTTTTATTTTGATAAATTTTTTAAATCAATATTTTTTTTAGTTTTATTCTTCAGTTTTTTATTAGATTCAAATATACGAGTTACGAGTTTGAAATATTAACTCAAGATTAGAAGATTTATTTAGGTTTTATATTAACTCAAGATTAGAAGATTTATTTAGATTTTATTTTTTAAAAAAAAAATATTTTTTAAATTTTATTATTAATATTTATTTTGATAGGGATTGAGTTTTATTATTTTATTATTTATTTTTTATAAAATTATTTTATATTGTTTTTATATTTAGAAAAACTTGACCAACACAGCAAAGAACACTATCTTGTACTTTCCAAACAATGTAAGTTCAAAACAGAAAGCACGAAACAGTTAACCCCTCATAATCACGCCCAATCACTAGTGTTGGAGAGTATCTGTCTTTCTACCCTCCCTCCCACTGTGTTAGATATTTTTTTCCATTTAGTGTCAGAATAAGAATCCTCAGAACCCTAAATAGAAAGGAAAGAAATCATGGAACCCAAACTCAGAATGCAAATCAAAGAAACAGTTCGGGAAATATTGGAAGAATCTGACATGGAAACTACAACTGAACATCAGATTCGTAGGTTAGCATCCAACAAACTTGACCTTGACCTTGATAAATCTGAGTACAAGACTTATGTCAGACACGTAGTTAATTCTTTCCTCGAAGAACAAAAGGCCAAACAAGAAGACGATGAAGAAGAAACAGGCAAGCAGGGGCAAGAGTACGATGATGAGGGCAATCTTGTCATTTGCAGGGTTAGTGCCAAACCCTAACCCCTTCTCCCCCCTTTTTGGTCTTAGCTTTGGAAATCTTAATTTTGAGAGGTTAGGTTTGTTAATGGATATCGAATGTTTCTTTTTGCTGCTTTTGATTGACAGTTGTCAGCTAAGAGAAAAGTGACAATACAGAATTTCAGAGGAGCAAATTTGGTGTCAATAAGGGAGTATTACTATGACGGTGGAGCAGAAAGACCTACTACTAAAGGTAGATTATTTATTAAATTGTGGATTTTTTTTCTTTCAAAATGTTATATGCTGCTTTGGTTTTTTTCTATTATTTTGTTTTAGTTTTGTTTTTTCCATGTGGGTTTCTTGTATTGATGCAAAGATTGGTTTGTAACTCAGGTTGTGGGTTTGAAGGATTTTTTTCTAGTTAAATTGAAGTTTTTTGATGATCATCATAGTCACGACTGTCTGATTCTCCAAGTTTGGTGGATTAATCAGTGGTATATAGTTGCACAGGCTGAGAGAAGTTATAAATTAAGATGTTGGTTATGGCTGTCTGGTTTTTCAATCCTTCTGCTTAAAGGATTATTTGGTTAATTTTGTGAGGGGCAGCCATTTTCTCTGTTTGAGTTGTGCGGTAGTCAATTTCAAATCTTGTTTTTATCACTTGAGCAATCTGATTTTGAGCATCTTGACACGACTAGTTTGAACCCCTCTTACAATATCTTTTATCTTTGTGTGGTTTTCTTGCAACGGATCTTCTGGTGTTAGATTGATGTTTGATGCTTGCAGTCATTCCATTTGTGTGGTTTTGTATGATGGCTCATACAGTTCTATGATTTACGTTGGAAACTTAAGGGATATGGATATGCTTAGATTTTGATTTCGGTGTAGTGAAGTGCCCTGCATCCTGCTTCAAGGCAGTTACTCAATGCAGTGTGGTGAAGTGTCCTGCATCCTGCTTTAGGGCAGTTACTCAGTGCAGCGTGATTTTCCTGAGAGCTATAATTTCACCAAGTCCAATCTTCAGGAGATTACTATTCTTTTCATGTTAATCAAACATGGGGGAAATTCAGAAAATATGGGAATGACATTGAAATAAAACCTTATGGACTTGATAATATGCCTATTTCAGAATAAAAGGAAGAAGAATCCAAGAGCACAAGCGTGCATTATGAGTGTTTACTGGAATCCGTGCAAGGTTTTCTGCTTTTTATCTAAGAGTCAGTTTTATCACTAGTGTGTATTGAAAGGATTTCAGTTGGAAACACATAACTCATATTCATTCAAACTCCTGAATCTAAGATAAAATGTGTGACAAAATTGACAAATGTTGTTGAAGACTGTTACAATAAAGCCTTTTGATATTCTGCCTCATTGGATTATGGTCATTAGTCTCTTTTTATCTGTGCACACATGCGTGGACGTGTGCTAGTCAGGCCGTGTTGATTAACTCTTTTGTTTCTTTAAAGCATTAAGCCCAGTTGTGTTTCATGCTGCTAATATATTAAGGTTTGGTTTAACCTTAAGCCCAGTTGTGTTTCATGCTGCTAATAACTCTTTTGATTAACTCTTTTGTTGATTTGTTTCTTGTTCTCTCCTCTCAGGAATAAGCTTAAACGAGGAACAATGGTCTACCTTGAGGAAGAACATACCAGCAATTGAGAAAGCCGTGAAGGACATGCAGGATCGGGATATTTGAGAGTGATTCTGCCGTCCGGGTTTTCAAATGCTCGGAGGTATCCTTGAAGAATTAACTGTCACCATGTTTTGTACTGTTTCTGAATATTAAGTTAAGACAGCCTGTTGTGGGCATCTTGAAATGCTTCATGTCTTGCAAGATTTAACTGCTGCTATGGCCTGTGCCTGCGCTTCTTGTCATATTACTGTAGACAGCTTGTTGTGAATCAATGTTACTCTACTGGCCTTGATATATTCTCCAGTTTACGGAGTCGCCAAAATTTAATGCAACCGTTGTTGCCTTGATTCACATGCCAACCGCCAAAAAGCATAAAGAATTCTCCTTACATTCAGATTGATTTGATGACGATTTGTTGTCCATAGACATTGTCTAATCATTTTTTGTTGTAATAAAAGTGACTCTCCAAAAAAAATTTAAAGACAAATGGTGATTAGGTTGTCTTAACTCTCGAAGCATAAGATTAGAACTAATAAAATATTTAATTCCGGCTAAGAATCGCCAAACAGTTATACAAATACTTACTCAAAATATCAAATTTGATTCTTACAAGCCAACCGCATCTAATTAGGATCAGGTCTTCTATGTATCAGATTTAAGCCTGTTTATTTTTATATTTGATAAAAAAATAATTGAATGTTTTTTAGTATTTGCAAATTATTTTAATATATTTATAAAAAATATTTTTTACTATAATTTCAAGAACACTCCAAAAAAAAATCATAACATGTTAGATAAAATATATTATAATAATAATCATTTAGTAGATGATCTGGTGATAAGAATTTAAGATTAAAAAATTTATTTTTCTTGTAATTTTAAATTTGAATCATGTGATTGCTAATATAATGGCTACTAGAAGTTTATATAATTATTAATTTAAAAATTTATAAAATTAATTGAGATGTATGCAAATTAATTCGAATATTTATATTAATTAAAAAAAAAATATATTGCAAAAGTTTACTGGGGATAATTACTATGCTTTCTTTGAACATCAAAGTCTACTATCTATATAATTTGAATATTCATATTAATTAAAAAAAAAGTATATTGCAAAAGTTTATTGGCGATAATTACTATGCTTCTTTGAACATCAAAGTCTACTGTCTATGTATTTATATCAAATTAATATAGAAATATCACGAAGTTGGAGTAGTTTCACTAGCACTAAAAGTTTTTATATACTTGTTAATTTTAGAATTTAAAAAATTAATTATGATAGTTTAAATAAAAAAATGAGAAGAACATTTGTAAAACATTGTATATATATATATATATTGAGGCGGTACTACGTTACCGAACACAGTTAATGTTTCTAGTTAAATATTCATGTAGACGAAACGCAAAAGTTGACAAGTGTCTCAAATTTGTTTCAATAAAAAATTCATTCCATTTTGCTCTTATCAGTTATTTCATTATTGAATGTATTAATTTTCCTAGAATAATATTATTTTCACTTCATTAATTCATCAAATTAGCATTATCTTTTCTCTATAGCAAAGTAGCCACATGATGCATGAAATTGGTAAAAATAATAATTTTTAATTTGAAATAATGAATTAAATTTTTAAAACATGTATAAATGCAAAAACATATTTATCTAAATAAAACTAAAATTATACTCTAATAATTGCTTCCGTTTCTTGTAAACCCTTCCCTTATCAACCTACTGGTCGGCTGCCCCTCCCTTTTTGGTCACAATTAACGACTTGTCGGTTATCCATGACCTCTATGAAGTGTGAGGTTTTCCACGGCAACTCCAAGCATGAAGGTCAAGTCAAATTATTGATATGATTTTTTTAAAATGTAAATATGGTTTTTTATATGCATTTCAATAAAAAAAAATTCATTTTAATAATTTATTTTTATTTTAATATATTTAATATTAATAATTTTGTTTTTTAGAAAAAAACTATTAAAAAATTCAATTAATAATTTTTCAAAATAATTTTTTTAATTTTTTTATAAATATATAGGAATGATTTTTTAAAAAAACAATCCTTTTAGCTTTTTATGTAATCATTCTATTAGAGTTACAAAATTAATTAAAAAAAAGTATGGCTCTTATTTTTCTCTTCCATTGTAGATGCTCTTATGGTTAATTGAATAGCGGGGTAACCAATTAAGACTTGTCGGGTTATTCATCACCTCACAAAATCCTCTGCACTGCTTCTCCATCCCTACACCCCCCTCTGTGAAGTGTCAGGTTTCTTGTGGTTAAATGAATAGCCAAGGAGGCATCTCAAAGGCTGGAGGTGGAGGATCATCAGCAACAGCAACAAGTTCTTGGGTATCACCAACATCAGTTTCAACATCAGGGAAAAGAATACAACGAGAAATGACTGAACTTAACATGGACCCACCTCCTGATTGCTCTGCTGGACCCAAAGGTGATAATCTTTACCATTGGATCTCCACCGTCATCGGGCCTCCAGGTTATTTCCTCTACTTCACACTACTTTTCTTGTCTTTTTGAGTAATGGGTTCTTGTTGCTTTTCTTTTTTTTTGTTCTTAATCTTTATAAAGTTCTCAACTTTAGTTTAACTGAGAATGTCTTGAGGATTATGCTTTTTGAAACTTCCATGCGTTATTGCTGCTGAGCTTAATTTAGAAAAGCTAGCTGTCATTGATGAAACTGTCTTTTTTATTTTCCTAGTAATTTGGATGCTGTTTGTTCGGCTTATATATAAGTTTCAGCTTCTGGTTTTAGCAATGAAATTGGAGATTATAAGATTGAAGGTCTTATTTGATCATGTTCGTTAGTAAACAGCCCTTTAGGATGTGGTAGCTTGTTCGTCATCATACCGGGGTTCTCTTTTCAGTTTTGCCTATTTTTCCATGTTAGGGCTTCATTCCTGTTATGCTTCATATGTTTTGTAGGAACGCCGTACCAAGGTGGAATATTTTTCCTTGACCTAATGTTTCCAAGTGATTATCCATTCAAACCTCCAACGGTATGTGCATTTACATCCAATGAGTTGATTGCCTAGAATATATATATATATATATATATATATATATCTGCTGAGTTTTTCATCTTAGACGTGAGATTATTGATTTTCGTGGTTGCTGTACTTCTCGGTAAGCTTAATTGAAAGATTAGAATGAAATAGGAGTCAAAACTTTCAAAATTTTATGTTGAAGCTCAAGAGTATAAGGGTTCCATTTATAACTCTACCAAAGTAATAGGTGATGTTGGACCCCGTGGGCTGTGGCACCATTGTGATGCCTAGTCGGATTACAAAAAATAGCAGTCCTAGATCTTATGTTTGCTCTTCTGTGATAATTATTCTGTCGATGGCCCGCATTTCTAGTTACATCAGAAGACAGCAAGTGAGAGAATTGAGGATAAATCATGAAGATGGAACATTTAAGAATTAAAAGGAACTCCTTTTCTGAAATGTAATTATAGCAGTTCAATGGACCTTTGTATATAGTTTACATCCATGGATCTAACATAATGTTTTAAGCATCAAATATAGTTGTAAAACATTGCCAATGTGTTGTTAATAATATAATGAATTATCCTGTTAGATTTTAGGGCCTTTGACTGCTAACTTATACATTTCCAACCATTCCATCATTAGTTGACTCTGAGCCATATCAAGGAAGATTGAAATATAAGCACAACTGCTTGAAAGCATATTTTTGGTGATGGTGAAAGGAGTAAGGTGTTTTGATACTCCGCTTTCTATGTTTTTTCTTTTATTTGTAAGTTTATTTTACAGGTAGTGTTCAAAACTCGTATCTACCATTGCAATGTTGATTCTGCTGGCAACCTTAGTTTGGACATCCTGAAGGATAGTTGGAGTCCAGCTCTTACAATTACTAAAGTGCTACTTGCAATCAGATCAATTTTCACTCACCCTGATCCTTGTAATTTTTCTTGCCTTCTTAATATTCTATAATTTCTTTGTTTTTTCTTTAGCTCGTGGTAGATATTTGGGTTCTGGCCTTTACAACGTCTGCTATTTTAATTGCAGGCTGATTGATTTTTAATTCCATATTATTTCTGACAAATACGTATTTCTTTGTTCGATTTTGATGACCATAGGAGTTTTGTTGGTTGGCAGTGGGAAACATTTTATATAATCTTGTGAAACCGATACCTTTTTGTCAAAGAAAAAAATTTCGTGGGCCATATTCTTGTTGAAATTCTTCACTTTCCGATTTCAAATGCACTCTGATGAACACCCAACGGAAAACCAAGTTTTCAGGTTTTATATGTACAGTAAAACTATGTGAAAACCATTTTTTTCTATTTATATTCGGCATCCCAGAGGCCTCCTTCATATTAAATATTCAGATGCTTTACTAACTTTTGGGTGTTCTCCTCACTGCAGACAATCCTCTTGTCCCTAGCATTGCCCATTTGTACTTGGCAGATAGAGCAAAACATGATGAACTAGCTGCAGAGTGGACACTGCGATTTGCCAAGTGAAACTTATTGAACGAATGAGCAACCTTGCAAACAGAGTTTCTTTTCTACAAAACATACTTCGGCATCTTGTTCTGCAGTACAGCTTACTGGACAGTGGAGGTCAGAGCACCTCATTATTGGTTGAACTTAGAGTTGAAAGGTTTGTAAATCTCTTGTAAATGTGCCATACATTTTGCAAACTGCCCAAAGTTATTTAGATTCAAGGAATATCATTGTTAAATGAGATGTTCTCTGTGCGTTTATGCAATTGGTTGTGGAGAAGTTCTATGGATCATGCCCCCAAAGTTGTCAATTAGGTCCAAATTGAGAATTTTCAATTTCAAATTGTCGTAGTAGAAAAGTAAACGTTTGATTACCAAAAGGGGGTGTTCGAATGTTTTCTGCAGCATATTTTTCAGGTTTGCAGCATCTATTTATTATTTTTTCCCCCTACTTTCATAGTTTCGGAAAAAAGATTTTCTAGCAAAATCACTGAATTTTGATTCAATTTTGATATAAAACTTTCATAACCCGTCGTCAACAATGCAAGAAACTATGACGGTAATGTCATCTTCTTTGCCGCCAACACTTGATTTTCCAGCTTCCAAAGAACCCTCTGTAAATGGAGTAAAAGCTTCTCTATCCATCGATGCGCAGTAAGCTTGTCCAGCCACTGCCCAAGCAACATCCTGTGGATCTGAGCCTCCCTCAATCATTGTCCTAACAAGCTCTTCTATTTGCCTTGGATACAAGTTATCAAACAGCCCATCTGTGCCAGCAACAATGACGTCCCCTGCTTCAACTGGAAGTGTCGTCACCTGCACTTGCAGTGGTTTTCAATTAATATGTTATAAAACACCATTATAATGAGCCTATAAATTCAATAAAGAAAAAAAAATCAATAGAAATTTTGGTTCTTGTACTTCTAAAAGCTGAAAAAAATCCTTAGCAATTCAGGTTAACCTGCTATGAAATAAACCTAAAATGATACCAACAGATACAAATATAAATACAATTAATAGAAATTCACCGTACCTGTGCGCCACTAGGGGTTCTACTCCTGTCATTATCTTGCAGCTGATAAGGGTAGTTGAAAGAATATTGCTGAATTGCTGATTTGTATACATCTCCACCCTTTCTAATCACCAAAAATCCACTATCTCCCATGTTCACTGTTGTCAAGCCCTATATAAGGAAAAAGAAAAGGAAAAACGAGAGAAAGAAAGCGTATTACACACCAAATATTTACATGAAATTTTAACATTAGGAATTTATGAGGTTCAAGGGGATAAACAACATACTTCGTCTTGATCTAGTGTTAAAATGCATGCTGTGGAGGATCCTTTAACTTTGGTCTTTGAATAAGCAGCATCCAGAACTTTTGTGGGATCAACTTTGCTCTCTGGATCGCCATTCACTACTGCACATTCAGCATTGCTCATGAGTTGTCTAGCATATTCTCCTGCATCAATGCCATGTTTGGACCAACCACCCACACCATCAGCCACCCCAACTGTTTTCTTCTCTGCGCAAATAAAATGGGCATCATCGCCCTGTAGCGTCCCAAGTTTTTCCATGGGAATATAGGATGATCCAGAGATCATTGTCAATTTTCTCTTCTTTGAACTAGTCCTATAGACAACGAAAAGGGCAAAAATAAAATCGCAAGTCACCTGCCTAAAATTATCGAGTTATTAATGCGTGTGATGCATTTAGGGTTAGAGTGTCTATATGTCAGATAAAAACAAGAAGAGAAAAAACAAGTAAAAAGGCCTGTCACATACCCATGATCAGTAGTGGTATTTTGTTCCTCGCCTTTCATTGTCAAGGCGGCCATATCGTTGCTAAGGAAGCCACTTGTTTCTAGAACATGGCCATACATAGAAATAAAAGAGGGTAAGAGTTTGCTCTACGATACGAGACGAAAAATAAACAGAAGGATGAAAATCCCGTGCTATGTAGGAGTCGCTTGTTCGTTCCGAGTCCACTTAGAACTTAAATAGGAACAAACAAACAAAATCCTTATCTGATATGGATCGAAGGTTTAGCTGGTTAATAGGTGGATTTGTTACTCAATTCTTCAATTTAATCTTTAATAAATTCGTATTTTCTTTCTTTCCAAACCCACAAAACCAAGTGGGTTTCTCAAGAACTCAAGTTGAGTGCCCCATCTCAAAGAAAGAAAGAAAGTAAAAAACTTGTTCTTGTTTGGCCTTGTAGGCTTCTGCCGCATGGCTCCATACAAAGCAGAAGAAAGAAAATCTACAGGAAAGGCCGATATTCGTTGCAGGAAGACACTCATTTTAGGACCGGAAAGATGATTGATGCGTGGCCTTTTAGGAAATTCGTAAACAAAAAATCAACTTGTATGGAACCAAAAAAAATAATAATCTTAAAAGGTTAGTCCGTTGGATAAATATATTAATTTTCTATTTTTTTATTTATTTCTTTTAGTATTAGATCTAGTGTCTATGTGTGAAATTTAACTTGAAAATACTCTAATAAAGGACCTTTTCTGTTTTTTTTATTATTATTGTTATTTTCTCTTTATAATTTTATAGAATAACTAAACTAACCCATTTTATATATCCTTTTTATTAAATTGAAGTTTATAGATAAACATAAATAAAATACTTCAAAATCTAATATAAAACAAAACAAATTAAATTTTAGATTTTAAATTGTAACATTGTAGGTAATTTTGTTATTTTTATGTAAATATCTCAGATTTCATAACAAGATGAATTGTTAGTTTTCTTCATCTCATTATTAAAAATATTTCCTCATAAAAATACTAATTTTGCATTGACATGGTCATAAGATAATATTTATATTACTAATATATTTATTTAGTGCATTGACAATTTTTATTTATGGAAAATACCTTTTCATTGAAAAAATTGTGATGATTAGTATATAACAAATTTTAAATTTAAAAAAAAAACTCCAAAAACAGTTAGTTTGGTCTACAATCGGAATAGCAATAACAATAAAAACTACAATTATAAATCACTAAAAATTTAAAAGAGGTAAAAAAAAAAAAAAACCATCATAGCTCCTCTCATATTATCATTGTGGATTAAACCATTGCTTCTTTTTTCTTGTTATTTGAGATTTTTTTTAATTTAATTTTTGAAGTTTTTTTACTTTGTTCATTAAAATTTTTTTAATTTAAAAATTAAGTTTAATAATTTATTTTAATTTGTTCTCTTTGAAATTATTACAGTATTAAAAATTATCTTAATATTATGTTAATGTTCAATTTAAAAAAATAATCAAATTTATTGGTTGCAGAAAAATAAAACTATAAAGACCAAAATTAATAATGAAAAAAATACATATCATCTATAATTGAGCAGGCTAAATGTGTGAACATGACCTTGCTAGCCCACATATATAGGGTTTTTTTTTATTGGGTTAAGTATACAAATCTATCTCTAAGCACCTAGCTCTTTTTATTTTTATTTTTTTCTAGTTTTATTGACATGCATTGTGAAAAAAAGACTTAACATGATATTTAAATTAATATTTAATTCCATCATGGTTTTTAAATAATATTACAGGTTTTTTTATAGGAATGTTAACCATTCTTTCCCAATTATTATGTACTTAAAATGAAAAACTAAGAAATAAAAATTGATGTATTTTTTTTTTCATGATATCTTCATATTTATTAATTCTTTTTTACTTCAATTAAGTTTAATTTATTTAGAAATTATTTTAATTTTTTTAAACTTTTGAGATCTATTTAAAAAATAGTGCTTACAATATAAAAAAACATGTTTATGTTAAAATGATAAAGAGATGCATTGATAAGAAAATGAATTTTAAGTTGAAAAAATACATTTTTCTTTGATAATTTTCTTTGTTTCCTTTCTTGCAAATATCTATTTTTATAATTTTTTAATTAAATAAAAAATAGATTTTAATAAACAAAATTATCAAATCCAATTAAGATAATGAACTACGTTATGGACAGGGCAAATTAATCTAGTTTAACCTGGATCAATCCAAAATATCGTTATACTAATATATTTTTAATTAAAAAATATTAAATTAATATTATTTAAAAAAAAATCAAATCATGTTTTGATCAAGTCAACTAAAATCGTGATTTACTCTTCATATAAATTAACCTAAAATGTGTCCATTCAAACTTGATTTATTTGAAAACCCAACCCATTTTAAAGATAGAGTTTGCAAGTCATCTTGTTAACCGCACAAGCTTTCTGCTTTGTTGATTGAAATAATATAATGATAATTTTTTTTTTTACAAAAACACTTGAGAGTAATGAAAGTTTTTTATAAGATTTATTGTTTATTACGAAGGTTACTGGGGGTGAGTAATGAAAGTTTTTTATAAGATTTATTTTTTATTATGAAGGTTACTGGGGGCAACTTTGGGGGCAACTTAGTTTTTTTATTTTTTTTAACAGGAAAGTAACATTAAGCAAAACTCAATTAACCGGCTTCTAAGAGCATTTTTAAATTTTTATTTGTTAAATGTATAGTATAATAACTTAATTATTTTTTAAAGTAAAATTTCTTTAATTGGGATTTATGGTGTTTATATACTTTCATCCTTTATTATTATTAATTTTTTTTGTTATTACCGGGTAGGAAAGAGGGAAAATTTAATATTTTAATAAATATAAAAAAAATAAATGACATGTATGTTACACATGTTAGTGAATTATCCACTATTTCGTATATAGTGGCATATGCAGCGATCAAAAATTATCTTCCTTAGTGTTTTTTGATACCTGACAACAAGACCTATATCCATAGGCGGCGTGTGTAGCTTAATTCTTTTCGGTTTGATACTAATCGGCTTTTTTTTTCTCTTTTTCTTAATTTTCATGTTTAATTTTTTAAATTTTTATTGTAGCCCTTCAATTTGTTTTTCACTAATCGGCTTTTTTTTTTCTTTTTCTTGATTTTCATGTTTGATTTTTTAAATTTTTATTGTAGTCCTTCAATTTGTTTTTTTTTAGATTTGATTTTTATTATTTTAATTACTATTTTTTAAAATTAAGTTATAAAATTGAAAATTATTTTCAATTTCACTGTCATTCAATTTTATAACTATTAAATTTTATATTCATTTGATTTTTATTATTTTAATTTTTATTTTTTAAAATTAAATTATAAAATTAAAAATTATTTTCAATTTCACTGTCCTTCAATTTTGTAACTATTAAATTTTATCTTTATTATTTTGATTACTATTTATTTTATTTATGATGTCTTTTAATTTTTTATGATTTCATTCTCCATTATTTTTTCATATATGATTTTCTCATCATTTTTTTTATAGTTATTTTTTTAATTTTGTAAAATTTTCAATTTTATATTTTGTTTCTAATTTCATCATTGAACATAAAATTAGTTGGAATTGAGTTTATTAATGGAGCTCTAGCATAGAATTTCAAGGGGTGTGAATTTAGGAGATTAACGAGGTTTAGAAGATTTGTACAAGTTTACTTATTTTTTTATTTTATTTTTCAGCATTTAATTTAATTGGATATTGAACCCTACAATATTTTTTATTTGTTTTCTATAGAATTTTTTATTAATTTTAAAAATGACTGGGGTTTTTTTAGATTTTATTTTTTATTTTTTTTAAATTTAGGTTTTTTAGGGTTTTTTTAGATTTTTTTATTTTTTATTTTTTTTTTAATTAGGTTTTTTTAAAAAATATTTTTGAATTAATTTAAATTAATTGCTTAGATATCATTTTTTTAATTAAATATTATTTTTATTTTCAATTTTCAATATTTTTTTATATTAAAATTAAGTTTTCTAATATGTATACCATAGTGTTATTATGTCTTATGCTTTGGATTGTGAATTGATCATTATTAACTTATATTGATTTAATATATTACTGTATTAATATTTTAAAAATATTTTATCTAATATGTATATATTTATATTTTTATAAAATTAAAAAAATAGTTCAACACATATTAAAAATCTAGTAAAACCTAAAAAGAGGAGGGATAGCGCCCCCCCGCTCTTATTGCTAAAAATATATAGGATGATGCTAGAATGTTTAAAAAAATTTACTAAATAATGGTACCAAATCATTTAATAAAACTAATAGGCCAAAAATTCCAGCCCAACGAATAGGACAAGCAATGCCGATAAGATAACAAGCCAAATATTTTAATATCTTAAAAAAACCAAACCGTATTCCCAAAACTGCCATCCCCATTTTATTTTATTTTATTTTTAAAAAAAGGTCCTGATGAAATATCCTAGCTTTGGACTCTTTCACACATTAGAACATTATCTCCTCTGCAATAAATAAAGAGGCCGTCCTTCATCTTTGCATGTATCTTTTACGATGATAGATATATATATATATATATATAGAACGATGATTGGGGAGCCAATAATGGAGGATATAGAGCAAGGGATGAATCTTTTGGCGCGGGTTGGGAAAATTCTGAGAAACACTTTTTAAATATGGTAATGTTAATTGTATAAAAATTATGAGAAACTTCAAAATTAATGTTTTGTCATTAAAATTAAATCAATAATAATAAGATCTGAATAACCTTATAAAAAATAAATTAAAATAAATAATAAAATTTAATTTATAATAAATTTAATATTAAAAATATTAATTAAAAAAATAAAACCAATTAAATTAACTAAAAAAATAAGTCTTTATCTATCATAGCCATCTTTCATATTCATATTCATTTCAGCGAGATAAGACGTCTTCTTCTTCTTTTTCCCTTGATTTTTATCGTGTCTTTTGGCGTAAAAAGTAAATATTCATGAATTAGTTTTATTTTATAAGTGAATGAGTAAGTTGGACAACTTGTTTAATTTTGTAAATTTAAATCTTGGAGATAATATTTAAATTAGTTTATTATTATATATTAATGTATTTTTTATATTGTTTGTGTTATAGATATAATCAAGGTATTATAAAAATGCAACCAAAAAATTATGAAAATAAATTATAATTTTTAATTATTAAAATCTTCGTGTTTCATCTTTTAATGTAATATTTAATGTTTTTCGTAATTGATAATTACATTAATTGAATCACAATTCAAAATATATTGTTTCCAAACGAATGATTGGAGAATGAAAGATAAGCTTATGGTTGAACAAATAAAAGTAGAAGCGTAGTGGTTAGCTGAGCTTAGCAAACATAATCAAAAGCAAACAAATGGTGGCCAGCGGGAGATGCCTTTTCTTTCTCCTATTATTCCTCTCCTTCTCCCTCTCCAACTCCAAACCAGTAGAAAATCCTCAGTTCCCATGCAAACCACCAACCCATAACACCTACTCCTTCTGTAACAAATCCTTACCCATCACTAGAAGAGCCCAGTCTCTCATCTCTCACTTAACCCTCCAAGAAAAGATCCAGCAACTCTCAGACAATGCCTCAGGGATCCCCAGACTTGGCATCCCACACTATGAATGGTGGTCTGAGTCTCTCCATGGAATTTCCATTAATGGCCCAGGTGTGTCCTTTAAGAATGGAGGACCTGTTACTTCAGCCACTGGTTTTCCTCAAGTTATTGTCAGTGCTGCTTCTTTTAATAGGACTCTTTGGTTCTTGATTGGATCAGCTATTGCCATCGAGGCTAGAGCTATGTACAATGTTGGCCAAGCAGGGTTGACCTTCTGGGCACCTAATATTAATATTTTTAGGGACCCCAGATGGGGGAGAGGCCAAGAAACTCCTGGTGAGGATCCTATGGTGGCTTCTGCTTATGCTATTGAGTTTGTCAAAGGTTTCCAAGGTGGGCATTGGAAAAATGGTACTGAGACTGAGAGTACTGGTAGACATGGGATTGGACAGAAGAGGGTACTGTTAGGAGAGGATGGCGAAATTAATGATGATAAGCTTATGCTCTCTGCTTGTTGCAAACATTCCACTGCTTATGATCTGGAGAAATGGGGCAATTTCAGCAGATATTCATTCAATGCTGTGGTAACTTGTTTTTTGTTTTTTAATCCAATTCGTCAATTCATTTTAACTGTTTTTCATAATTGTTAGTTGGAATTACAAGATAAAAGATGACTCCATCGAGAATTCCTTTGATAGTATTGTTAGCTAGTTTCAAAAGGGTTTCCGTTGGCTTGGCTTAATTTGTAACTGGTTGGTAGGTGATAGAGAAAAGTTTTAACTGGGTTTAGTTTGTTTCTTTGTAGCCTATGACTTTTGGTTTGCTGGAGCAATATTTGATTGTCAAGTTCACTTTTTTATATATAAGTTGTAGGGTATTACGAAGCAAGATTTGCCGGTGTTTTGGCCTTTCTTAAAAATCAATGTTAACTGCAATCTCAAGTGAGTTTAATTGGTTTATCATTCCTAAAAGGTTACAGAACAAGATATGGAGGATACGTATCAGCCTCCATTTCGTAGTTGCATCCAAAAAGGCAAAGCAAGCTGCTTAATGTGTTCATATAATGAAGTTAACGGGGTGCCTGCTTGTGCAAGAGAGGATCTCTTACAAAAAACTAGAACAGAATGGGGATTCAAGGGGTAAAAGTTTTTAAGTTCTTTCTATATTATGCAATGGCAGAGTCGAAATTCAGAATTTGATTGTTCATATTTGCGTGTCCCCGTGGAAAAACAGATACATCACCTCAGATTGTGATGCTGTGGCCACAATTTTTGAATATCAAAACTACTCCAAAAGCCCTGAGGATGCGGTTGCTATTGCTCTTAAAGCAGGTATCTATAACTAGCAGCAAACGAATACCACTGTTTGTCCAATTAGTAGTCACTATGAGGATGCTTATTTGTAGGAATGGATATTAATTGTGGAACATATGTGCTACGAAATGCTCAATCTGCTGTCGAGAAGGGCAAGTTACAAGAGGAAGATATAGATCAAGCTCTTCATAATCTTTTTTCAGTTCAACTCAGGCTAGGGCTGTTTGATGGAGACCCCAGAAAAGGGCAGTTTGGACAACTTGGACCTAAAAATGTCTGTACCAAAGAGCACAAGACACTAGCACTTGAAGCAGCAAGGCAGGGAATTGTGCTTCTGAAAAATGATAAAAAATTCCTGCCTTTGAATAAAAAAGATGTTTCTTCCTTGGCTATTATTGGTCCACTGGCAAACAAGGCAAACAGTTTGGGTGGTGACTACGCAGGTATGACTTGCTGCACATAATATCTTATTCAATTCAAATTCTATCCTTTTGTGTGAATTAGTTTCATCAACTAAAAGTCAGATTAAGTATTGGCAAATTGTTACCAAAAATCATTGAACTGAAGTGTTTTCTTTCTATGATGGACTGGTTATCATGATGTAAACAAACAATTATTCTATTTGTAATTTCCAAATTAGTTGCAGAATCACACTGATAGCAAACCTCGAAATCCGCTTACATCAAGTAATTGCAGAGTTTTGTCAACATTGTAGAATTTCTTCAACTTCGACACTATATATTTATTAATTGATATATTTAATTGTAGGATATCCATGTGATCCACAGAGTCTTTTTGAGGGACTTAAAGCCTATGTAAAGAAGACTTCTTATGCCATCGGTTGCCTTGATGTAGCTTGTGTTTCTGATACTCAGTTCCACAAAGCAATAATTGTTGCCAAAAGAGCTGGTTTTGTAATTGTTGTTGCTGGGCTTGATTTATCACAAGAAACTGAAGACCATGACCGAGTTAGTCTTCTGTTACCTGGTAAACAAATGAGCCTTGTATCATCTGTTGCAGCAGCAAGTAAAAAACCAGTGATTCTAGTTCTTACTGGTGGAGGACCACTTGATGTATCATTTGCCAAAGGAGACCCAAGAATTGCTAGCATTCTTTGGATCGGGTACCCTGGTGAAGCTGGTGCAAATGCACTTGCAGAAATCATCTTTGGAGAATATAATCCAGGTTGGTATGTGTACAAACATCAAGTTCCTATTCTCTTCCAAAAAATTGAAATTATCCTACTACGTCTTTCATCGACACTACATTGAAAACTCCAATTTGTTATAGGCGAGACAGCATAAAAATAAAATCATCTTTGTAAAAGCATGAAGTTACCTTTATTAAAACTCATCATTTAGAATGGATTCATTTCCAGGTTTTTTAAGGAAAGCAGGTTACCAGTTAAGATATGAGAAGTATAAAAAATAGAATCCATTTGAAATTACATACAATGTTCTGATATCAGGTGCCATGGAAAAATGTCTGGGATTGTTTGGTTTCTCTGATACATATAGAAAACAATGCTTTCTTGTTCTCATCCAGAAGTCCCGTTAAATGTCTTTACATCAAAATTTGCAGGTGGAAGATTGCCAGTGACATGGTATCCTGAGTCATTCACTGAGGTATCGATGACTGATATGAACATGAGACCTAATCCTTCTCGTGGTTATCCAGGAAGAACCTATCGGTTTTACACTGGAAACCGAGTATATGGATTCGGTGGAGGCTTAAGCTACACTAATTTCACTTACAAGATCTTGTCAGCACCAAGCAAGTTAAGTTTGTCAGGCTCTTTGTCATCAAATTCTAGGAAGAGAATACTACAGCAGGGAGGAGAAAGATTAAGTTACATAAACATCAACGAGATTACATCTTGCGATTCATTACGATTCTATATGCAAATTCTGGTCGAGAATGTTGGAAATATGGACGGAGGCCACGTGGTGATGTTGTTCTCTAGAGTGCCAACAGTTTTCAGAGGCGCTCCAGAAAAACAGCTTGTTGGATTTGATCGAGTGCATACCATTTCCCACCGATCCACTGAAATGAGCATTTTGGTCGATCCTTGCGAGCATCTTAGTGTTGCAAACGAGCAAGGAAAAAAGATAATGCTGTTGGGTGGCCATATCCTAATGTTAGGAGATCTGGAGCATTTTTTTACCATTCAAATTTATTGATTCCATCTGTTTCAGAATACCACAATGTTTCAACATAATTCTGTTTTTTAAAAAGCTTGCACCTTGTTTCCGTTACTAAGCTTGTGGAGATTTCTGAAAAATACAGATATGGTAAGAAGTCGTTGTATTCAAGAGCATATAGGATATTTTATCAAGACCACGTCCTTTTGGTCCTTTTGTGGTAAACGTCAGTAGATTTGGTTAAAAACCCCAGCTGATTAAATGAAAAACAACCACTAATGGCCAATCCATTCCAATCACCCCTTCGACTCAAAATATTATTGTACTGCTCGTAGAGGAATCAAGGGGGGAGTGGGATGCTATATGAGTATTGAGGTGTTATTCCAACCCCAGTAGGATTAGGACTCCATCTATATTTCTGGTTATGGACTAGTTTTTTAGTTCAGTGTTCATGAAACAGAGGTACCTAGCCATTGCAACTTCAAACTTAAAAGCAGTGCTTTTGAAGGAACTCTTTCTGCTCCTTCAAGACTTGGCTAACAAGTGCCAAGAAAATGCTCGTTAATTTATTTCTTAATCAGATCTTAACTCCATCTATATCTTGTTTTTTTCACCAACCGAGAATTTGATTCTTGAATGACAGTGGGAAACAAACTCGACTGCTATCCAAGCTAACTTTCAAGAGAGCTGTTTTCTTTTCTTCTTCAGTACAAGTTACTGATACACACACCACACGTTCTTGAATTTGAAACCATATTAACAGATGCCTTTTGAACAAGAAGTCTTTTTTCCTTTTCTTACAAGACCTCAACCAAAACAAGTTATCAGAAAGAGTAAGAACTAAACCAAAACCACTATAAACTCAAAAGAAACAAAACAACGAACCGTGCAAGCATAGGCATATGCTCTTACATTGCAGCTCTCTTCGTTGCATATCTACACGACGCTTGAAGACAATTCTTCAAGCATCCTGACATTAGACCCGAAAAAACGACGAAGCGAAAAGTGTTTCTGTAACAGAGTAATAGTGCTTAATTTGCCACTAAAACAGTTAAGGCATTTCGTTCATTAATATTCCTACCACTCAAATCCTCTCTTTGATAGCACAAGAAAAGGACGGACTAATTATTAATGTGGAACCCTGAATACATTAGAGAGCGCTGGTTTCCAAGAACTCTTGCTACGCCGAGGCGTCAGACTCGCTGAGCTTGCTGCCATTCTCATTTTCTCAATCAAGGCCTCGGTATTCACTTGTTCAGACAAAATCTCTTCCAACTGCTTGGTGCCGATCACCAACTTCACTCTCCAAACCCCATCCCCTAGCGCAGGCAGGACCTTGAGCACCGGTCCGGTTGCCAAGTCGTCTACATAATCCATTGCTGCTGTACTGGATGACATCTTTGGTGGCTCTATCTCATTAATCCACTCCATAGCTACCTTCTCTGTGGCCAGCCCCATGCCGTGAGCTTGGCTAATAACTTTAGTGTCACATAATTTCTGCTCATTCTGAAGTGGAAGAAGACAGTAAAATTGGCCGCCAAGTAGGTACTCATGGGTAGACAATGGAGATGAAGCATGACCCTGCCTAAAAATGCTGTAACCTGGATATTCACGAAGGACATCTTTGGCTAACTTAGGACCCTTGAACTCTACAATACCCCCAGAATCTGTTAAAACCCTGATGTTGTTAGGACAATCTTCCACAACCCCTTTAAGAGAACAATTTCCCATCACTACAATTCTGTTACATCAACACGAGTCACAGACTCACAAGCTCTAGTTCATATATAGACATTGAGGAATCCAAGCAAAAACAAGTGGGGAGACAATGGAGAGATGTCAGAAGGGACAAGGCAGTGTTGCTTTATTCAAAAATCTTGATCGGTTCCATGTGATGTTAGACCGTTGATAGGATTATTTAAGCGTTTAAGTTATGAGTTGATCCAAGGCAAAACAATAGAATATGCAAGGTAGAATGGTATGTTAAAATAATAGGAGGAAGAAACGACAATTTAGATGTGGCTGTTTTCAAATTTATGTGCTGAGGGGTATGAATATACCACCTTTGGTGACTGGCTCCTACGCAACAACAGCATTGGAGTCTCTAAAAATCCGTGACAAAATGCTGTCTTTTCAATTTGACTTGGGACACAAAATATGCATGCTCCGCAACAAGAACCTATCTAATGGTTTTTTCAATGTATTAACATTGGATGTAATGCCCATGTCAGCAGCGCCTCAGGAATTATTCATATGCTCCTCATGCTTGGATTCTTCTTCAGTTGCACTGTTCAAATCTAGTACTCTTTGTTAGAAGGATTGGATTTTCTATCTAGCCCAGCTAACCTGAAGCCCAAATGTTTTGATGGGACAAAAACCTTTATAGCTAGCCACATTTGAGCCATAAGCTAAGCCCAATCAGATTTATTATAGACGAGAGTTGAGAGTTTAGACTTTAGAGCACCCCTTTAGCCCTCTGTCAAAGGACATAAGCGATCCACGAAATTTGAAGAAACCTTTTTTTTTTTTTTAAGATTAATGGGGTGATTATATATCAAATATATGTATTTTAAATAATTTTATAAGTTTTAAAATTAATAATTATATAATTTTTTAATAATTTTAAGAATACAAGTAAAGAAAAATTTAAACCTTAATTTAAAAGAAATTTTTAAGTATAATTGCGATTGATTTTTAAAATATTTTTATTATATAAATTTTTAATAATTTTAAGAATTCAAGTAAAGATAAATTTAAACCTTAATTTAAAAAAAAATTTAAGTATAATTGCGATTAATTTTTAAAATGTTTTTTACTTGGAAATATGTTAATATAATATTTTTATTTTTTAAAAATTATTTTTAATATTAATATATCAAAATAATTTAAAAATAATTTAAAAATATCAAAAATATATTTAGTAAAAATAATAAAAATAAATTTTTAATTTTTTTTAAAATATTTTTAAAACATGAAAAGTGAAAGTGAAAACTCACAGCCAGAAATCCGAGTAAAACCAAATAAGCTAAAAACATGTGTTCCCTTTGTCTTGTACGAGACAACCCACTTGATCATACCAGCACTGTCCAACCAGCTGGCGTTCGAAGATACTACTTTCTTCGTGGCACTCAGCTACACCGCACATCAATTCTGAGGCTAAGAACCCATAATCCCACAAAAATGTTCTGAAAGCTCTCACTTCTTCTTCAATTTCAAAGTAGAAAAGACAAAACATAATTCGACCAAAGCCTCCACTAAAACCACACACATATTATTCCACTTTCCGACCACAAAAAAATAATAATAATAAAAACCCCAAATCTTCCTTTACACTTTGGATCGCAATTCACCACGTATACATTGTCTCCTTGAACATCCAAAACCAAAAGATGCGGATTAAAAAAAAAAAATGGGGTGAAAATCTTCAAAAAGAATTGAAGCAAGTGAAGATGTCTATCTTCCACCACCTTCCAGCTTTGCAGTATTCGACGTCAACTCAATTCAAGAACCATGGCTTGTAGTGGACAATTCTGTTCAAGAAAATCAAGAAATGCCATCAAATGTGCAAGCTCCAATACTAGAGAAGCTCAACCAGTTTGAAACGGACGCTCCTCATTCTTGGGATGAGGTTAGTAAGGCACTTGAAGACCTTAAGCCTACCCTCAGTTAAAAAAGGCCACCAGCCACACCACCACCACCACCACCACCACCACAAAAGCCTTATATATACTACACCAACTCAAGTTGCTAAAACCAACCGAGAAATGAAGCAAGAACCGAGAAAGAGTGTTTCTATTCATACCCTTGTAGAGCTGGAAGCAAAACTAGCTCCAAAACCTGAAAAGGAGATGAAAAAAACAGAGCCCATTAGGACCGGCCAGTTGAGGAAAGTTGAGGTTGTCAGCAAACCCGAGTCACGAGTTGGGACTGAGCCAGTGATCCAGTCAGGTGCTGGTGGTGCTGTGAGGTCGGTGAAAATATCCTCATAGTAAGGGATACGTTAGAGAGGGAAAAGGGAGGGAAGCCTGTGAAGAAGTTGGACCCACTGAGTGGATTCGAATAGAAGAGTCCACCAAGTAGAGCTAACTCAGTTGTTCTTTACACGACGTCGTTACGAGGGGTACGTAAGACATTTGAAGATTGTGCACCGTGTGAAGACCATATTTGAGCTGCACCATGTAATTTTTTATGAGAGCGACGTGTCTTTGCATGGGGAGTTTTTGAAAGAGTAGAGGGATTTGATGGGAGAAGGGGTGAGTGTGCCTACGGTTTTTATCAAGGGAAGGTAAATAGGAGTGGATGAGGTTGTTGAGTTGAATGAGTCAGGTCGACTCGGGAGGATACTAGTTTGGGCACGCGTGGAAGAGTTGAGGGAAGACAAGCGTGTGAAGGAGGTGGGGAAGCTAGGTTTGTGCCATGTTTGGAATGTGGTGGGTGGTGTAAGGTTTTTTTTTTTTAGATTAACGTAGATGTCCGGACTAGCTTGTGCTTTTTTTTAGATTAACGTGGATGTCTGGGCTAGCTTGTGTGCACCATGACTAATTCTACGGGTTTTGAAGTTAACGACCATATAAGCCTCCAATGGCCATCATATGAGCAATCAAAGATTCGAACCTGAGATCATAAAGGGAATAAACCCCTTGATCCCTTTATCACCACCTAGATGGTTAGGTGGTGTAAGGTTTTGGTTGATGGGTCCAAGGAGAGGTGTGGGAAGTGCAATGAGAAGGGGTTGGTTCGTTGCCCAACTTGTCATTAACGAAGTTTAAATTTTTTTTAAAAAAGAAAAAAACTCGATGGATGGTTTAAATTTTTTTTTTAAAAAAAAAAAAACTCGATGGATATAGTATTTTTCAGTCAATTTGAGGTGTATAAGAACATGCATCTCTTATTAAAGATAAATTATTCAATATAAAACTAGTGTGGATCTTCACACTATGCTATAAATTATTCAATATAAAAACTAGTGTGGATCTTCACACTATGCCACGAGTAACCAAAATATTTTTGAATATAAAAAAAATAATGTTTAAGTTTTAAGAGTTTTTTTAACATTGTTATTAAAAAATTAAACTTGAAAATATAATATTTTGAAAAAAGATTCATCAAAAATAATTTTTTGTTGTAAAATAAGACTAATATATGTATTTAATAAAATAAATCAAGAATTATACATTTCAATTAATAAAAAAAAAATTAATCTAAAGCATAGATTAAATAATGACAATATGACAGATATATATTAGGGTATATAATTTCATGTCCCATGTAACTTTTCAGTTTTTTTATCTAATTATAGAATTATATTTTTTTTTAAATGTAAGTCATTTAAATAATCACAAATCATATATTTCTCAAATTTAAAATCAATTTTCTTAATATGTCACTTATTTATCTTACCGTGTAAAATTTTTAACTTGAATCATTATTTTTCTTAAACAACAAAAAGAGAGAGAGAAAATTGTATGATAATTAAAGTAAGTTAAAAATTATTATCAAAATATTATGTTCATATTTTTTGTGTGATTGAAAGCTAAATAAGTCATATATACATGTGCTAAAATCATGTTCAAAATATACTTAAATTTTAAAAAAATTGAATTGAATTTTCATGAGCAATTTATTATTATTATTATTATTATTCATATCAAATATATAATAATTAAAAAAATATTAAAATTCAAATAAAATTTATATTATTACTTAATAACCATGTCAAAACTGAAAAATAAATAAAGAACAAGATAAATTGTTTTGAGGGACAAAAAATAAAATAAAATAAGAATAGAAAAAGAAATTAAAGGGTTAGGCCTAGCACTTGCCTTCTAATAGCACCGCGCACAAGCTTGGGTGTTTAGCCTTACTTTTATTTTATTTTTCTATTAAGCAAGTAACATATTCTTTGTTTAGGTAAATTATGCATTGTTTATTTGGCCAGTTTTAGGCAACCCAAACAGTCAGAAATTAGGTAGAATCTCTCCTTTCATTGTTAGTACAAAACAACCCATTTTCAACTAAATTTTGACCTGAAAATATATGTAAAGCAATATATATATATATATATAACTCAATAAACCCACCTGCACCATTAAACTTGTCAAAAAATTAATAAAAAAATAAAAAATCAACCCCAAAACCCCGTATAAGATTAAATTTATTTTTTCATAAAATTTGAATGTTAATAATAATTATCATCCAACTCTTCTCATGAAATGAAACATTTTATCACCAAACCTGGATCATTTTATAATCTGGATCAAGACAACTAATTATATTTTTTTATTATTATTTTTTAATGATTCTCTTTTTCATTTAGAATAAATAAAATAAATAAAATAAATTCTTAGATCAAAATAAATATTAGTAAAAATTTTGAAACAAACTTATTTTTCTTTGTATTTTATATTTTAATCTTTTTTCTTTTGATTTAGTATTTTTATCATAATTGGAATACTAATTCCATCTAATTAAGTCATTGAAAGATATTATTGAAAGGAAAAAAAATAGTTGCTTCATTCTTTATGTGAATGGTGAAGCATCATAATCTTATCCGATTCTTTTAATAGAAAGGATAATGGGGGATTCATAAGAACATGTTCTTTTGCTAATTTGAATAGGGTGTGATAATGGGGAAAAAAAGACGGATGGGGTGGTGCATTTGAATAATAATTGATGTGTTTTTGTGATTGTTGAGTCTTGGAATTTGATTGGTAGAAGTAGAGATAAAGGGACTTTAAATGATGGTTTTGTCTTTCTATTTTTTTATGATTTTCTCCTCAATGTCGGCACCTGAATAGTCTATGGTGGGGATTTAATTGATTGCCTGCAAGTGTTCAATAACAAAATGGCAGGGTCCCTTCTTTTTCCGGGGGCTTATCATCGATCATCCACCGAGCTGATCTTGGCACCTGCCAAGGGACAGCCCACTTATCAGAACTCTGATGAGCATTTTTTATTTTTTTTACATCAGATGCATTTATGTTTTAAAAATTAATGGTTTAATAAAAAAATAATTTTTAAAAAATAAAATAAAAATATTATTTTAATATATATATTTAATAAAAATACTTTAAAAAACAACTAAAATCTTTTTTCAGACACTTGAAAAGGTAGGTTCGTGTGCAGGATGGGCTTAATCAGACTATTTTGATTAGATTGTTCAGTCAAACAGAAAAGAGGCCTGATTGGAAATATTCGTCCGCCACGCAACCACCATGCTTTGAGCTTGCACTTATTGGTTAACCGGTCATAGTCATCATTACTTTGCACCTTTCCGACAATTAACACCCCAATGGATAACCTCGACGGTGCGACGACGATGAAAGATATTTATGCAGGTAAATAAAATTGAATGAAAAACAAATTAGAACCCCCCCCGGCGAGTCTTTTTACGATAAAAAAAAATAGAACTTTTGACTCTCTCCGAGAGAAAGAATTACTTTTGGGAATGATTAATTGGGGTTGGAAGGTTTATCAAAACCCTAAAAAGAAATTGTAAAGCCAACCAGTCAATTTTGCTAACACAGTCAACATGGAGGCCAATTGGGTTCGCGGTGCCCAACACAAAAAACATTGATTTCGAGTAATAAATAAGGAACTACTCTGCTAAAGCAGCCGGTTTTAGCGAGTTCTAATCATTTCTTTGCCACTCGATTTCAGCTGGTCTAATAATATCTTGACAGATTTTCCAATAAGAGAACTACAATCAGCTTTTGAATAGGTCTAATTATTAGGTTCAGATAAATCACACCACCCTTTGAGACGGTCCATGTCCTTTTCTTTTTCTTTTCTTTTTTTTTAAAATCTATCCACATGATGTCGGCACATTTTGAATTCGCAGCCCCCAGCCCCCCGTTTGATATTGATGCTGGCCACTACACTCTACAGTGTTAATATGAACAATCGAAAATGACGGTGCAGCATCCAATCTTTGAGTTGAGTTGAGTTGAAGTTCCATGGCTGATAACCTAACTGCCCATTGAAAATACTGCCTTCTTTGAGTGGTGAAACAAAGTTTCAAGTAGGTGATCCAATCACCCTTATCCTTTGCCGAACATTTTTGTATGTTTGCCTCTTATTATGGCCAGCCAAATTCAAGAAAAGACAGCTTTAATTTATTTGTTGAGCGGATAGATGGCTAGTAGTTGTTTATTATTTGGAGATAGAATAAATAAAGGTAATAATAAGGTAACTTACAAACGCAGATGGGGCTGTAGCAAACGTAGGATTCAGTGGATCATACAACATTTTACACACTCAACGTTGAGCTGCATAGGGGTTGAAGATAATGGAGTGGGAACATCCACTAAACTTCTTGTTTAGACATGAAAAAACCACGGCTAAGAGCTTAAAGCCATCGCATTCCTTAATTACCATTTATTTCCATTGCTTCTCATGCAAATTGAAAGAAGATACCCAAACAGCAATTCATCCTTAATTCACTTGATTACAACTCAGAAATAAAAGTTTATGTTTTTTAATAAGCCCTTTATTTATATGTCAAACCTGAGAAAATAAAAAAAACGAGGGTGTTCGAAACAGCCTCCATTAAAAAAGATTATACATCACACAGGCCTTATGAGCAGCCTCTTTCCTGTTCCCACAATTCCTCGCCTTACTCTCCTTAAAACTTTAATATATTGAAGCCAAACAACTATTTTTGATCTTCTATTCTTTTGTCAACTCTTCTTTTTCACTTTATGTGTATCTCTCTGCCTGTATAGGATAATATTGTTTTCAAGGGTTTTGTTCTTCAAAGATGTCCAAGAGACACAGTGCCTGAAAATCCACCAGAAAAATAATTCAGAACTCAGAGCCTGTGTTAAGGAAATGCAATGAGTTTTCACAAATACATCATACGGGATTCATTTTGGTCACCGTCGGAATTAAATTACCTCTGGTATGTTGAGTTCAAGGCGGAACTTGGGACCATCGTAGTGATGGAGAATTGGCCGGAAAGAGTCCTCTTCAAGTGGCTCACAGATTTTCCTTGTCATAACTCTCACCTGTACAGAAAAACAGGCGTGTTAAACCTTCAATGATCCAATATACAGAGTGACATTAAATCACAGGCAGGTATTTAATTTATCCAACTAATAAACAGCAGATTAGCCATATATACCTGAGCAGGGAAGCGTGATTCGCCAGGACATTTCTTGTCTTCCCAGGCTGAGGGATCGATGTTTGTTCCTCCAAAACTTGCAGCCTATACATACCATCAAAGACACCTTTAGTTTATCTAGAAGCATCGCTAAATCTTTTGTAAACATAGCCATAAACCTAAGGACAACTGAAAACTGCTTAGATATTATGCAATGAAGTAGAGAACTGAGAAACCAACCTCAAAAACTCCATGGAGTTGATGAGTGGAGTAGTTGTAGAGGAAAAGGGGCAAGCCTGGAGTGATCTGCCTCACGGAATCGCGGTATCGGGGAGGCAAGCCTTCAAAAAAATCCAAGCAATAATTTAGAGACTCGTATTAAAGATGCAATGCACAGAGGAATAAAAAAGTTCTAGGAAGAGATTTATCAAAAAAAATTCAACTAGGTTCAGACAACGATTAAGCAATGATTTCATATCTTATTATTTTTGTAGAGTAGATCAAATTATGCCTCTCATTATTGACAGCCCAGATGGCTCAGAAGACCCACAAATTTCGCACCTAAAATTAATTACGGCACAGAATTCCCAACTATAAAAGCTTTGCACCTAAAAACCTAGACTAGTCTGCATGATATTACAATCTATGACCTGTTTACAAAAGCAAAGAAGTAAGATCGAACCTTAAAAAGACCAGA